TAGATAGCGCCCATGCATCTGGTTGACGAAGGGGGACCGCGTGGTTGCAGCCGCGAGGCCAAGGTCTTTGGAGAGCGGCGACCTAATAAGATGTTTTGTTTGTGGAAGACGTTGAGCGTGCGATGGGTGGCTCTGGCAAGATTGGCCAGGATATGATTGTTCAGAGGTGGGAACAGAGTCGGACGCCGGAGGAGCGTGTGTTGCGTCCGAGTCGAGGGTGGTGGAAACTGGTGGTATCACTAAGTATATTCGGATGAGCTGGCGCTATGGCTTGCGCATCTTTCCAGAAGTAAGCAATGACACGGAAGAGAATAGCTCTGCAACGCACCCTTCCGCGTTGCTGACCTCTCATCTCCGCCCCCAGGCCCGCTTCAAGGATGTCTGGCTGCCGCCGTTCAAAGCCCAACCGCGCTCGTGTGCTGGCGGCGCTCGCAGTCGCGGTCGTGCAGGAAAATGCGGGGGAAATGAGTGAATAGGCGGCTTGGGCGCGGCGCCCCCAACCTGAACACGAGTCGCAGACGCGATACATATGCACAGAGAAAGAACCTGCGTGCCGGTGTATTCGCAAGGGGCTGGACCCCGGCCGCTAGGGAGAGAGCGTTCAGTAATCGGTGAGACCAGCGGCAGGATAACTCACCATGGAGTACCGCAGAAGCTTTATAGTCCGGGCAGCTTGCGCCCCTGCCGTTGAACTTGCTCCAGCCTCCTTCGCGTTCTGGCTCGAAAGTGTCCATCGCCATGAGAGTCGCCGTCACTGTCGCGTCGGAGTCGTCCAGCAGCGCGAGCAGCCGTTGCCGGTATCAACCATGACAATTAGCAGCGCGCGCGCCGTGCTCAACGCGCGAGGCTCCGTTCGGCGTCGCGACATGGTCGTCAAGAAGCAAGAGGCGCTTGACGTGGCACGTGCGTGACGGCAGGGTCCGTGCGCGCCACGTCAATCACGCGCGGATCCTGCCCTTCTTCCTTCCCTTTCCCCCTCCGCCGAAGCGAGCGCCTGGCTCGTTCCGCCGCCCCAGGGCGAAAGACTGGATGGATCCACGGCGGCCAGGGCTAGGATGACCTCGCGGGACGCCACTGCGTCTTTTCTTGTGCTGGCGCTCACTGTTGCGAGCTCAGCTGCTTGTACAGTGTCTGGTTGCCTTCGCGGAACGGGTAGGCGGACTCGGTGGATGGGGATGTCTTGCCGCGATGGGAAGGATGTAGAGATGCGGGCGCGGAAAAGGAGACAAGTAACTAGGTGCGTTTACAGTTCCTCTTCGCCGTGTCGTTCGCTGACGGGAACTTTATAGCTCATGTACCGCTAGAATGATAAGACATTGCACTTTCCCTCTGCGCCAATACCACGGGGAACTCAAATGACGCGCGTCAGTTGATTGTCTGGCGATTGCAAGAAGAGTATGCACTTTCCAAATTCCGTGATTTTCTGTCGCGCGTGCCGCGACCTTGCAGTCCTTCGGATTTGCTATGGACTCCACGGGCATCTCGTTGATGATACTCGCCTCCCCGACCAAGATCTCCCGCGAGACTAACGCGCTTCCCCGCCAGCAATGTGGTCGTCTATGCCCAGGCTAAGGCCACACGATATAACCACGGGCTCCGCATTGCTAGTGCCTTTCGGGAGCCGCTTGTGATTTAATTTCGGCGGCGCTTGAGGAGGACAGGCGCCCTGTACCCGGGCAAGCGCTGGCCGTCTTGCCACGCCGGCGCGGGGCTCTCTTTGTAAGCGGTTGTAGGGTAGCCAGGACAACGCTGGAGGACGTTGGACGAGGGCTTGCCGGTGCCGTTGTCAATGCGCCGGAGAATCTGCATAGGGAGGGCAGGGCGAACAGGTACGGCTCATTCGTCATTTTCCGCCGGCGTTCAACAACGGGCACGCACGCGCACCTGGCTGCGTGAGCTGTCCTGCTGTACGGGGGTCACGGTCGCAACCGGGCATGTCGGCGCCTCCGCCGTTGCGGCGTCGGACCTCTGTTCGACCCGCCACTGGCGAACGACTCGGGCTGAGTAATGACCCCATTGGCCGTCAGTGGTCAATTTGGCCCCAGACTCAGGGTTTCCCGGATCGCACGCAGGGATGGATGGTCAGCTTACCCGTCAAACACACTCTTCTGCGCGCTTACTTCGTTCCAGAGACCCCCAATATCGGCGCAACGTCGAATCGTTGCCCGCTGCCGGGTTGATGTCAGTTTCGCGGCAAGCAGATCCGACTTGGGCCTGGACCGACACGTGTCCTGATCGCTGACGAGGAGGGAGATCGATCGACGACGCCGCGGCGCGTCCTGCCCTGTACGGCGGCGCGCGCGTGGACCACTGTTCCCCTACGGCGCGTCGAAGTTCGAACCCGCCTCCTCCTCCTTTGCCGCCGCCGCCGTTCGCAGACGCATCAGGTCGGGCAGGCGAAAACCCCTGGCGGGTGCCAGTATTGCGTGCTTACATACAGTTATATGGCTTGCTGAGGCGCATCTACCGCTGTTTCTCCCTCTTGTCGTGCAGTTAGAACAGCGATGTCCTTGAAGCTATTCATTGCAGTCACAGTCGCACCCACAAAAAACTATGCCGTGTATAAAGGATCATAACAAACACTATGCTCGGTTCTCTCCCCAGCCGTCTTTCCTAGTCGACACCACCTCAATGCTTACCTTCTTCTCTTCTTTCCCGAGCACGCCACACCTTCCGTGTCTGAAGAACTGGCAACCCCGTCCTGTGATTTGCTGAAAGCCACGCCCCACGGGGGCGGCATCTCTTGCTGCGACAGAGTCTGCTGCAGGGCTCTTCGTTAACGTCAGTCAGGTACTCGTTTTCAGTGGAAGGAAAGCCAATACCTGGAATTCAAAGTATGATGATGTCTCGCATGTGGCGCATAAGTGGGGGTTGGTGTGGCGTGTGCAATCGGTCGTATGGTTTGAAAGGTTGGGATTTGGGGGATTTGCCCTAGCGACAACGGGGGGACAGGTCGCGCCATTGCCTCCCGCATTCCCGGAGAAGGGGTGCGCTAAATGGCGAGAGACGGGTAAATGTTGGTGGTGGCAGGATCGGTGGCAAATAGATCGTGTATTTGTCTTGGGGGTTGGTGTGCGGGACGGCGGATTCCCTCGAGGGCTAGACATATCAAGGATGTGAGATGACTGAAGTGTGGAGCGGCAAGTAACGCACTGGGACATAACTCGCCGGAAGGTGGGATCGTGAAGGAAATGGGGAGATTCAGGGCGACTTATATAGCTGTTCGGTGCTAATGTACCCACATGTGGGCGGACGGCCGACAGCCCAAGTAGAGTCACTATGATGCTGTTGTGGGTAGTCGCCTTGACTCCATTGTTTACGCAAAAGTGCCAAAACACAACAGTCAACTTAGAAAGAACGGGCGAGGGGGAAATTCTGACGCCATTCGTGAGCGCAGGCATTTTCACTGCGCTATGAACAACCGACCTTGGCAGCGTCGACATTTACCAGCCGCGAAAACACCAGCTCCGCGCACTGCCTTCGCGTCCTGGATCATGATAGCCTATGATGATCAGCTGTGTGGGGGTACGTGCGAAGAAACAACAAGACTCACGCAAGAAGCCGATAGAACATCGGAGAACGTGGGTCCCCACACCGCCCGCAGACCATCTAAAAGCCGCACCGCGTGCTCATCAGTTCCCCCACAACAGCGCACCTTCCAGCGCTTCGCTCCCTCCGTCGCTCCCTCCTTGGATTCACCTGCAACAACCGGTACCGCCGTTATGCTCACGACGAACCTCAGGATCCGCCCCGCCAGCACCTCCAGTCTTCCTTCCCCGTTTTCCAGCCGCGGTGTCGAACGACTACACGGACGGGCACAAAGGACTGTACCGCAACAGTGTCTCTGCTCGTTGTACGACCTGCGATCGGGCTTGATCGCGGGTTGCCAACCAGCAATAGCGCCGAGTTTCCCGAGCAGAGTCGGTACTTGGCGCCAACTTTGAGCCACGGACCCACAGCGCTCTGCGGGCTATCGCGGATCTCCGTCTCCCATTCAGCGTTGGCTCCACCAGTCACAGTGACGTGCGCACCCGTTGTCTGTATCGTCGAGCGGCATGCGCAGTGGGGAGGTCGGCCCGCAAAGGAGGAAATGAGTAGCTGGCGAGCAGCGGATATGCATCTTGCTGCAGCGTCGCTGCCTCCGAGACGGGGACGAGCACACAGTTGTTGAGGGTGACGGTGAGCAGCGGGGAAGGACGTCAGAGCGTCTCGGCAGCGCGCGAGTGGCGGCGGCCATAGAGAGAGTCGTGTGGTGGGCGGAAGGAAGCAGGATGCAACATCAGGAAAATAACAAATCCTTGTAGGAGCCTTGTACAAGGACCCATGGACCTTGTAAGGACTTGTAGATACTTGTAGGCCTTGTAGATACTTGTAGCACCTTGTAGGTAGTACTTGTGGGATGACCTTGTACAATGACTCTCACAAGGCCAATTTACAAGGTGCCAAGGGGGGTTCAAGTCTCGAATCATGGATATAGGGTCGGAAAGTTTTTTTCCGACCCCTGGGGGACCCCCTCCCCCCCTCCTGCCATATCGGGTAATATGTTCCCACGATTTGCATCATGTGACCACTGATGCGATCAAAAAGTGGGATAAAAAATTCAATCTTTGTGAAACTTTTTTTTGGAAATTTTTTTATATATGCATATATGTGTATGTGTATGTATGTATGTACCTGGAACCTTCAAACACATATGGCAGGCTATATCAGCTCTTCAACATGTTCACCTCTCATCAATTACCTGTCAATAGACCTATGACAGAGTGGGCTATCCAAGCTCATGGGCCTGAAAGTATATAGATATAAGTATGAGAGTTGTGAACTATAGAATTTGGAGTATATACACTATATTTTCAGTGGCTTTACACCCATATAAGGCCTAAATCTTTCATATACAAAAAGTTTTTTTTACCCCCCGGGGACCCCCCCCCCTCCCCCCTACCCCATGTGCCTGATAAGGATCTTGAACCCCCCTTGCAAGGTGCTCCAAGTTGAAACAGTTAAAAGATAGTCTCATTGGCATGATAGTCTGCATACTTGCTAACATAAAATGACTGGTATGCATCCAAGGAATCTGATGCATCAAAGTTCTCCTCTGGAACATAACTTTCACCAAACACTGGGATAAGATGGACTCCACGCAGCATTGAGTCCAAATGAATGACAGCCATATCAGGCTGTACTCCGTACTGTCCATGAACCCAGTCTGGTGTTACCACCCACATGCCTGTATCCTCCTCCGGGGAGTCGCCCAAAATTGAGAACCAGTGAACCAAAGCACAAGGATATGTGATGTTGTTATACTTGAAGGAGAAAAAGAGGCGAACCCTTGCAACGTGGAATCCCTCTATGCCAGGAGCATCACGATCATGTACAACAAGTGCACAATCATATCGTGCTGCTCCAGAAAACCAGGTAGCTGTGGCCCGAACACGTTCTTGTCGCATGCCTCCAATCCCACAAATGTCGCTAGGTGCGTGAAAGACTGCACGGGCAGAGGTGTATGTGTAGATACGAGATGTGCTGAGATCGAAGGTTGCCTCAAGGTCCATGTCAGAAGGGAGATTGTCGTCATCAGGGTGGATTTGTTCAAATAGGAAGCGCCGGATAAGTGCAGGAAGCCGCGGTTGCGAGAGATGAATTGCCAAGGAAGTCAAATGACGAGGGATCTTGCGGACTATATCAATCGGTAAGATTTGAATAATAGACAAAAATACAGAGACAGAACATACCATATGTCTTCGCCAACTTGACTTCAGCATCAATCTGAGGGCCCTCAACAGGCCCAGAATCATCATCAGATCGACGATGAGTGATATCTGGCACTGAAGAGGAGTTGGAGCCAGTGCCCTGCAGTGGAGCTGGAGGTGGGGATGGGGATAGAGGGTGGGGAGGTTCAAAGAATGGAATGAGAGGACCATCAAGCATACCCCTTTCGGCAAAATCAACCCGGGCAGCATGGAGTTTATCAAGCCTTTGGTTAGTCAGCAGCATCTGACCCAGTGGCTGATTCCGATTAGAACGGCGCCAAGGCTTCTTGACTGAGATAGATGAGCATAGGCCATTAGCAACCCCAAATTTCCGAATGCCAGACACATAGTGATCACCAGAATGTTGGCGAGGAAGTGAAAATCCTTCGGGTCGAACATCACGGAAAGATTCCCGCGCTTCATGGAAGTTCGCCCAGGCCGTTTCCATTGCCTTCAGTGTATCCTCACTGATGACTGAACGACGAGCCAGATAGCAAAACTCCATGAAGTATGATACGGTTCGCACCATACCACTTGGGATCCGACCAGAAATGGCAGGAAGAAACACCTGAAATATTATTCACCAAGGCCATAAGCAAGTGTCATTTATCTGACCTTCATTAAGCCTTTTGAATCGTCACCAGTCCATTGTTTGAAGTTTCGGCCCATCGGAAAATTTCGCAGACCTGGAAAAGGAGGCGTAACAGCGATTCTGCACTTGTTAGTAATGATAGATAAAATTCACCCTCAAAGATAAGCGTACCGGCGGTCGATGTCGGCTAATATTCTCTGAGCACCCTGTTTGTCATAGGTGGTCGCAATATAGTCCACAATCCAATCGACCAGATGATCCTTGAAAACACCCTTGATCATCTGGTGAAGCAGGTCGGGACTAATTAACTCGTGGATGTCTGCCCGAGGAAAGTCATTGGTGAACGGCTACATTGAGATCAGTCAATACAATATCAGTGATCAACGATTGCCTACAATAACATCACCAACGATTCCGAACTCATCCCAGAGCTCTCTCAGCGAATAACCAGCATCTAGGAGTGTCTGGGTATGCGCCTTAGATCTTAGTGGACTGGGTTCATCCGATTCGAGTTCCTCGGGAGGTGCCAGACAGCTAAAACAACTTAGTTCTAAAGGGCATCAAAGAGAGCTGAAGGACAAACATGGGACACCGGCCCTGAACAATACATGTATACAAAACTTGCTCTGGGTAGTCCGAGATATTAGCGCAAAAATCGTAAATGGCCCGCCGAAAATGACGATCACAGCAACGTGTGACTTTGGGTGTCTTCATATGTGGCTTGAGATCGCTCATAATATAAGCAATCGACGAGTGAAATAACTGGCGGCGGAATTTTCGGAATGCGACACTATCAGCGTATTGACGAGAAGCTAGGCAATATATTCATTAGCCAGCTCGGAATACGTTCGTAAAGAAGAGGACAAACTTTTTGGTATGGAAAGAAAGGCCAGCAACGCAATTCCATTCCGATGACCACGCCGTGCCTCATTGTGATAGTTGGCAATACCTCCGTAAAACGGATAGAATTCCGTGTTGCCAGTCCCTACGGATGCGCATGTCTTGTCGCTCCCAGTGATGATTGGGACATGCAACGCGCCATGATTTTCGGGGTCTTGCGCGAGTAAGTCCTATCTTAAGCTCAGCAACCAGTAAACGTGATGTCGGAGAACATACCGCGCGTTCCCATACCCAGTTTCCCGAGAACACATCGGTATATTGCCTTTTTCCATTGCGGAAGATTCGCTTCGCAGCCCAATCTATCTCGTCTTTGAAATCTGGGTTGGCGAGTTGGCGCTCAAAGATGGCAAGCGGCGATCGGAACCAGACCTATATGATATGTAGGTTAGCTGAGTATAGAAGATACACTTGAGCGCACTTGAAACTTTTGCGTCATCCAGAGGGGAGGATCATCCGGAAGGGGCCCGTTGTATTGGACACTGAATGACTGCCATGGGATGTCACCCAGCGGAATCGAATCGATTGTTGCATATAAGTCGTCATCGTTGGCGAAAGGTGGGTTGTTTCCCGTAATAGCCGCAAAGAGCTGCATAAGTTGACTAATGTTCTCCCCCGACATCTGGACCCGCGTATACAAAAAGTCTGCAAATTCGAAGGTAGCGCGACTCTCAAATACACCAAAATCATCCTTGTCTCGTTCATCCCATGGTTCTGCTTCAGCGCCTGGCGGCAGATCGTATCCATCGCGATCGCAGGGAGTGCCTATTGGGGTTTGTTGGTCGTAGGAAAGAGGCAAGAAGATAGCGCACCATCGAGAATTGGATGTGTCTCGATCCGCACCCCATCTGTATTCTCTCCCAGAGGCGAATCTTGTTGAGCGGGAGAGCCGCCCTGACCCAGTAATGAACCGGTGGAGCCAAGCGGCGATAACGGTGGCGATGCCCCTCGACTGCTGAACCGGGGGCTCGAAGGCGGGCTCGAAGGCACCGGCGGGCGTTGTAACGGAATGGGATGGACGGATGGCATTGTGTGCTTGGCATGGATGTGGCGTGTGCGGCCGCCGAAGCTACGGAAGAGCTGTGGGCAATGTGGGCAGGGGATGTTTTCGGGCGTGAAGGTCGCCATCGTTTACGATGAGGACTGGGGAGAAGGTCGTGGGTGTTAAGTGCAAAGACCGGTCCGACCGAACGCGATCAGTAGCGGAAACTCCCAAGAGAAGTTTTCGGCCAGGGATCGCCGCTCGTTGCTACCCGCAGCACCATCATCAAGCATCTTTTCTTCCTGCCTCTTTCCACCGCCTTCTCCTCGCTGGACGATGCCCCGCAAGCCGGGGGCGAAAGCCCCTTCCTGGGGACCGAAATCGAAGCCAGCATCCCCAAACGTGGTCGACACTCCTCCACCACCTGCTCAGCCCGCCAAAGTACCCAAGGGCGACCGCCAACCGCCAACGCTCGAGTCAGGGATGAGCCTACGCCAAAACCGCATCTCAGCGGCCAAGCCCGACATGAAAAAAGCCTCCCGGCGCTCAACGACACAGGCTGCCCAAGACCGCGCATCTGCAGCTGCCGACAAGGAGACCCGCCTTGCTCAGCGCGAGCAAGGTAAAGTGGACGCCGCAGTGCTCGAGCGAGCGTCTTTGCGCAAAGTGACAACTCCAGCAGAGGCGCTGGACCATCCGTTGGAGGTGGACTTGCCCGAGAGGCAGTTGCGAGAGCGGCCCAAGGAGCCGCTGAAGCCTGTGGATTATGGCGGTGAGTTTCATTTTCCACAGGCACAACTCACTCACCACTTCTACAGTCGACGAAGAGCCTCGCAAAGACCCAATCTCCAGCGGCAGCGGGACAGAGGGCGAGTTTCAGCCAGAGAACGAGGAGGAGGAGGAGGAGAGCTCGGATGAGGTGATGGATGTCGACTCGGAAGAAGAACCAGCCCACAAAAAGAAGTCGAAGGCCGTCAAGGGCGACAAGCGTAGGGAAGTCGCTCATTTACGCGACACTGTCCTCGTTGACAGCGACGACGACGGGGCGCCTCTATCTGGGAAGCGCAAGACATCAGCAAGGTGAGTGAAGCTCCGAAATAATGCATATACTCACCTGTTCCCAGACCGTCATCGTCTCCAGCAACGCGCAAGAAGGCACGTAAAGTCAGCGGGCTTCATGCCGGCTGGGAAAACGGTCGCACCAAAACGCCTTCCTACTTCGTTGCTGCCCCAGAGCCTGCGCACGAGCGTGGTCGTTCACGTACACCAGCATCTCAATACCACGGCGCTTCAAGCCGTTCTCACTCTGCGGGCTCGGCGCTGTCAGTGCCAATGTCGGATTGGCAGGATTCGGAGCGTGGTGGTAGCAGCGAGCGCCCATGGGGTATGCCTTCAGACGAGGACGACATGGAGGAAAGCAAGTACGCTGACAACGTGGAAGCGGCCGATGTCAAGGCGGCACGTCAGACGGTGAGTCAAGTTTTCGACTTAGATGATGGGTGACACATTCTTTTTGCAGAGCGCTTCTATTGCAGGGATTGTGAAGACCGAAATACCTGGCCTTGTGCCTGTCCGCTCAATGCCCCAGCACAATGAAGTTCCCGCTCGCCTCATACGCCACGAGCACCTGCCTCGCGTTGTCCAGCCGACCTTCTGGCACGAGTATGGATCGGAACTTATCGGGTATATGGCTGGGCTGCTCCCACCTTGGGAGCGCCCGACGAAAGAGCAAGTCATCGAGCTCTATAACGAGTCCTATGATCGCGAGGTGGACCAAAACTCGGAGGAGGCGAGACGGGTGTGGAAACTGGTAAGTGCTTGATTCGACAAACCTAGTGTCTGACAGACCGTTTGTAGAGTAGCGACCGCATGTCTGATGTTGCCAACGGCCTCGCTAAGACCGCCCTCGCTGTCATAGACGCCTACTGTGCCGACAAAACCGCCGCCGAAATTCAGGCTGACGTTGCGAGGCTGCTCACTATCATTCCATCTGACGACTTCACAGAATATCGGCACTTTTTCTTCGAGAGCGTGGAGACGGGGGTGGACGACATGGGATCAACGACTTATATGCCGACCAAGGTATAGAGTTGTTGGTGTGGGTACATATTGCTGACTTACTTTGGCAGGTGTTTCGCCACCCGTTTGTAATCGACACCTTCGCAGCATTCTGCAAAATTACGAAGGACACCAACGGCAATCTGGGCCCACCTTCCTCCGTCAAAGAACGTCCTTGCGCCGCACTCGTCCTGACGGTACAGGCGGTACGTTGTGCTGTTTGATAAGCATGCTCGGTAGTCTTATATAACCTAGATCCAGCGCGCTTTAGAGTGCTGGGAATCAGGGACACGTTCTAAAACTGTTCCTGCCTTTTCCAAGGACAACTATGCCCGCCCAGCCGTCGACGATATTGCTACGCACATCAAACTTCACGAGGTTACCGGTATGCTATCCTCTGACGCCTGGGACGATCTCATTGCACGCTCGCGTGTGGCTGCGACAAATATGGGGAAGAAACGAAAGGCCGCAGTGGTGTCTGCTCCTGCTCGTAGTGCGGGGCCATCTGGTGTACGTGTCGGCCTCCTGGGTGGATAATGTCTCGTAGTTGATCATTGAATACATCCTCATCTCATTAAATATGTCTATTTGCCAATATTGTGTATTCTAAGATATCCTTGTAAGGTCCTTGTGAATGGCCTTGTGAATGCCTTGTATAGCCTTGTAAGGCCTTGTGACCTTGTACAAGGTGGGGACATAGCTTGTACAAGGCCTTCTACAAGGCCGACCTTGTAGGGCCTTGTAGACCTTGTAGACCTTGTACAAGGCCTACAAGGCCTCTACAAGGATTTGTTATTTTCCTGATGAAGCCACGCGGGTATTCCCCCACGTCTTAGCGCCTGTTGTATGGATATGTCGGAAGACAGAAGACCAGTGTACTTAGTATATGACGCACCGTCCTCGCGTTCAGTCGGGCATGGTACGCGTTCGCGCGCGCGAGGAACACGACAGACTCGGAGCTGCCACGAGCGGCGCCAAGTTGAAGCCGCTGAACGGCAGGGGGTGAGAGAGAGAGCCTGCGATGTTTGCTGTTATGCAGGCAAAGACGTCGCACGGCAGACAGGACCGGCGCAGGCAAGGCGCAGGCAGTCGCACATGGTGGCCGGGAAGAAGACGCGTTTGACGTGGCACTGAGCACGTGAGATCGGCGCTGGTCCGTGCGCCGCACGTCAATCACGGCCGACTTGCTTCTTTTCGCCCACCTCCCCCTTCTTTTTCGCCTGCTCGTTCGCGCTCAACGAGGGTGCTCCGGCCAGCGCAGAGCTTGTACAAGGTGTAGGTAACAACGCATAGGAGGTCGGGTGTATAGGCGAGGGTTTTGAGACGAGAGGGACGAGAGCCAGAGCTGAGAGTATGGCGTGGACAGTTGTGGGCAAGAGGTGCGCTGCTTACTGCTAGTCCTGACCTGACTTTGACTGTGCTTGTTACAGGCGGCGGCGGTGGCTGCACCACGAAAAAGAAGAGCGTCTTGCTGTATGGGGCCCGACGCGCAGCTTATCGTGACTCATGAGGTGCGTCGTATTCGTCATTTTCCACAATGCGAATCCAGTCGTCTGCTAGGGCGCTGCTTGCTACAGCTGAGGAGTGAAGAAGTCGTCTTCAGTCTCGGTGCCGGGTGCGTGCGTGGCCCGCTCGCCTTCATTTGCGCTGACGCCTGCTAACGAGTATCCCTATCGTCATATAGCATACCTCGCTCAGCCTTTTGCAATACACAAATGTCTAATCCGCAGCCCAAATAAATTTCCACTTGCCGTCTTCCTGTCGCTGCTCCACTCTGACCACACTTCACCTCCGCCACACTCCTAAGTGTCACGTCCCTATCTCGCCTCGGCACGTCTACCGCAACCCGCATATGCCCAGCGGTGGCCCTGGCAGTAATCTGACCTCGAATCAACCTCTCGGGCAGCGCGTTCGACTCGCTGGCACGCAACGGCTTTCTGCGACATTATCCCTTTCCTTTTTGTTTCTTTCACTAGGAACATGCTGTGAGTCTGTGACGCGGTGCGCCGATTGGATGATGACTATTTTTGCCGCAATTCTGCTCATGCATTGGTGACTCCGAGTCTCCCTCACTTCCACCGTATACAGGTGTATTTTACCTCGAGCGACGCGGAAGTGCGCCGGCCGAAGTAGATGTTTGGCGCCCTTTCGGCTTCAACATGCTGCTCAAGCTTGACGAGCAGGGAGCCAAAGCGGCGCGAACAGGCCTCCGACTCGGAGTCGGGGCTGGGTTTGGCGTTGGCGTCGGCAATAGCAGTGGCCATTGGCGTCATTGAAGGCGCATGTTTGTCCCTCTTTGTGCTGGGAAGAAATGAATGGCTTGAGCCTTGTAAGTTGTTGTGTTGCGCCACCTTTCCCCACGTCTTTTGTGCTTTTTGCTAAACGTCCGCATCTAGTTCAGCATCGAAATATAAGCTAGCAATGATATCATGCTATCTAACTTGTCGAATATTGTGGTGGCTCCTCCGCCTCCGTGTTTTCTACCCCATTTACCCTTCTCAGCTGTGACTCCACGAGCGCTACTCGTTCCGCCATCGCGAGCATCTGCTGCACCAGGACAGTGTTCGCAACCTCAACGGCTAGCACTGGCGCGGGCTCATTCACCTCTCTGTGACGTAGAACGCCGGCGAATCGCTGCCTTGTCGCTGACAGCTAGGGTGTCCTTCGACTTGTCAGGTCACGGTGTCCTTTAATTGGAACAAGGTCGGCCCGGAGAGGACACGACCTGTGACCACGCATGGCGCACAAACCCCGCTGACCTCCCACGCTACGCAGCGCTTCACACGCTAACACTTCTTGCTCCCGACCATGACTACCCAGCACACAGAAGAGGATACGCTGGATGGGCCACGTGTATTCTTTATGGATACAGCACCACCAGAGATGAAGTGGCTCGCGAAGCAGTTGCAGAGCAAGCGGAAGGATGTTCGGGCCGGCCGGGCGACAATTGATTCGAAGTGCGCACTGTGTCTGCAGGCTCCAGAGGGCGGTGAGGGAAAGCTTAGACGGTGTGGTAGGGTCCGTCATTGCTCATCAACCTGCCTCATATGGTGCTTATCCACTTGCAGTGTGGTGTTGCACAATACTGCTCAAAGAAGGTGTTCACTGATCTCAATTCCCTTGCAACACACTGATTTATTATCATCAGTGTCAGAAGGAAGACTGGTGCGTGCAAATCATTCTTTCCTGTGAGGAAATGATGATGATATATTCAATCTGCAGGCCACGGCACAAGACAGGCTGTCAGGAAGACAACTCCAAGCAATCTCTCTCCAGAATCACAACAACGTTCCATGCTGCAGATCTCATTTCTGCACAGCTGCAGTATGCTGTTATTGCTGCCTTTAATATGCTCTCCCTCTCTTCTGAGCAGCTCCATGACGGGCTCTTTGTGGTCAATGTCCACCTTGCCATGGAGCCTGCCAAGACAGTCGACTTGTTTGCTCTGAACATAGCCCTAGCAGAAGAAGAGCTTGGAATCAAGACCGTCCCAGAGTCGCTGTACAAAGTGCCCTCTGTGCCACAAGTCCACCATCTTGCCCCGCTCATGCCGGATCAGCATCCAACAACGTTACGCACTATGTGGGAAGATGCACGTGCCCAACTGGACCGTGATGGGATGCATGCCACCCCACTCGCTGTGTGTATTTATGCCAAGTCACACTCATTAGGAATGCTCAACATGGTGTCACTCCCCATCCACCCCTTTCACCTTGCCTACATGCGCACAGGCCCTATTATCCATTCCCGTGTCAACGGACAAGCATCTGAACGCCCGTATACTGTTGAGTCCTTAATTGAGTATGTATGTGCCTTTATGAGATTGTTCTGCTAATCTACCACAGCGTGATCAACAATCATATCAAGCATGATGAGAAGAATCAGTTGCATCTGCGCACACTCCTGTCACAGCGTGACATCCAGGTTATCAAGGACTGTGCGGCCCGAAAGGGCGCCACTGCAGATGCACTTGACCCTGCACATCCCGCCTATGCCGCAGCACTCTTGCACCACCGGTACAACCGCGAGCATGCACCAAAGTTGTTTGTTGTGCCACAGGCTCAGTAGAATTTGGAGCATCTCCTTCTCCTACTTGATATCACTCCAGATGTATTGTATACTGAATGAAAGCCTGTCAAGGATATCAAAAATAAGTACTTGCTTTGAAAAGAGTCTATGTAGTATGTAGCATTTAAGAAGTTACTTATTGGGGAGAGGTACACTCACCCTTTCCAACTGATTTGTCTCAATGTGGGTAACTTGAAATGCCTGATGCATTGATTGCGCTGGCAGCGACTGTGGTACGCTCACTCAAGATTTTTTTTACGACTGCTTATCTGATCTAATAGATTCACTGTGCTCTTGACGAGTGGCAGACGGGAGAGCGACAAGCAATCAAGCTCACCGAAAATGTATACGAAGATATCTATAAGAAACACCGCTCGACTCTTCAACAGTTGAAGGCCAGTGCTCCAAATGCCTACTCGAGGTTAAGACGAGCGATCTATGATTCAACCACGTGAGTCTTGTCCTCGGGCCATGCCAGGCTGCTAACAGATACTGTAGTATTTCAATCAATTCTGCAGCCCTGTGACCTGTGACACATGTGGCAGAAATGTGCAATTCAGCCAAGGGCAAAATTTGGTGTGACCTCCTGCCTTATATGGAAGTTCTGCGTGCCGGAGGCGCGGAAAAATTTGGAAATTACCATTTTGGGATAGTTTCGGACCAAACATATCTGCTGTGACCTGTGACAGGCAGAAAAATTTCGGCCAAAAATCTCAATGTGACCGTGACATGATTAATTGATCGAAATACTACAGTACCTAGTGCGTCAGCAGATGGTCAATCTAAGGGTACAACGGGACCTAGCCGTCTTCTGCAGATTATAGAGCTGCCGGACTCTGATTAGTTACACTTGTCTTCTGAGTCTATATAAAATGTGAACTGGGAAAAAGGAATTTAGAGAACAATATGAAAGTACTAGGAAATGGTGCAAAAATTGAGGAAAACTTTCTGGAAATTACTGAAAATTTCACGAAATTTCAAAATATTTTTGGGGGACTAAAGGAATCTCAGAAATCATAGAAATCGGAAAAATCAGATACTTATGATTTCACAAAATTTTGCAAAATTTTTTAGAGGGAGGAATTTCCTGATGTAGAGGAATCACTGCTAGCCTGCGCTAAGCAACAACTCAATTTCACTGACAATTTATGCAATACAAGATGGAATACACTTGTTGTTCGCCATCGTCCACCACGCCGACCATGCCGACAGAGGGCGACGGAAGAGCTGTGCGTCCTGTGATCCAGCGCTTACCTTGGTTAACTTTACTTATTCAATAATTCAACACACTTTTATAGCCTTGGACGGGTACCAGCCCGCCGCCGCATCCATACTCTCCACAGAAATAAGTACTAGCAAGAGCCTCATTCAAGTGCCAAACGGATACTTGCCTCACACGGTCCTTCAGCTTACTTCCACCCTAAGATCACCCCTCCAGTTAGCGAGGAGCCTGACGACAGAAGGGCAAG